GCAGCAGTGTTACTGAGAAGACCAGAAATCATAGAAAGCCACAAACTAAGGTGCAGCTCCATAGCAAGCTGTTGCCACAGAAACTAGCAGCTATGATTTCTGGATAACGATGGGGAAGACAGCAAAAAAGCGAAATTGTTTTGGTGGTTTGAGGATGATGCAGTCTGGTTTTGAGGGCAACACTAGAGAAGACCAACAGGAAAATAAATTATTTAGAAAACACAAGACAAAGATTCAAGCTTGTTGGTTTTTTTCTCAAGGCAGAAAAGAGCAGGGACAGAACTTGGCTGCATGATCAGAGTGCAAACAAGATTCTGGTGAGAGGAGGGCAGAGGAAAAGGCAACTTAATTTGCAGTAGAAATCAGCAGGTCAGTTGATGGGGGAGTTTTTGAATTAAGGAGAAAACAGCAGTGAGACAAAATATTTGGGAGACAAAATTTTACAAGTTTGACAAAAACACTCTGTCTTGGCAGCACTCAGCAGAAGAAAACATGGCAGGGGATGCCCTGACAACTCTTCCAGCCCTACCCAAGCTTTAATAAATGGATGATCAATATAATTTTTCATATAACCCAAAACCGAAAGAATTACTGTGACACGCCTAATAAAATGGTCCAGTTTTCCCAAGGATTTAGAAACAGGATTTTTACTCCAAACCAAGCTGAAACACAGTCCTTGAAATCCTACATACAAAAAGGCAAATGCCATTCTCTCTCTGCCTGGTATATTGCTGCATTTCCACCTTTTATACCTCCTGGTTAAACAAGTCACAAAGTGTTGGATGCAAGAAAAACGCTATGAGAGTCAGCTGTGGAAAAATGTCAGCTAATGGCTCAGCCTTAGTCCCTGCCAATGGAGGCAAGGTTTTCTACAGCTGAATATTCTAGAACATGACAGGGTGTGACATTAAAACTAAGTAGCCATTACCCTGAATAGCTTTCCCTGAAGCTGATTTTGACATTTGAAGGACCAAGTAGTTTCACAACTTTTATGAGTACCTTGCTGGCATTTAAGAAGTTTCCACACTGACATTTTGTGCGAAGAAAGGAAACGAATGAGGCTAAAAGGCTTTGAAGTACAGGAGGGAGAAAGGCTCCAACAGGCAAAACAAGCTAATTTTGGTCTTCTCTGCCATTAAAAAAAAAAAAAAAAAAAAAAAAAAAAAAAAAAAATAAAAAAAAGTAAAAAAGCAGCTCTTAAATAGAGCTCAGTTCTGGTGTTTCAGAGCAAGAGAACTTTGAGACAGAAATTGCTGATAACAATTTCAGTAGATCACTAGGACAGCATGCCCATTACACTACCTAATATTTCCCATCATGGACCACATATTTAGCTGGGTTTGGGTCTGGTTTCTTTTCCTTTGAGCACAGAGATGTAGGGGCAGCTCTACTTTTAAAGCCTTAGCTTAACTGCTGGTACAAGCTGCCCCTTACATTTGATCTAGCTTTGCAAATTTTGCCTGAGATTCCAAAAAATGGCAGTGCCTGAGCTTAACAAAACATCTTTCTCACTAAAGCTTTTAATCTTATCGTGCACTTAGCCAAAAAAACTGCTGTTTTATTTAGCTGCCTGACCCAAATTAAATAGAGTGAAACTGATATAACAAGCTAAGAACATGATTACTGGAAGTCCTAGTTAACTGGAAAGTTCTCTTTTTGGAGCTGCTTTGTGCAAGAGTCATCAAAATAATTGCAGTATTTTAGCAAAAGCCAAACAAGGAGCAGAGACTATTACTAGAATGCACTGCCCGGTTTTCAGCTCTGGTAACAGCAGCAATTGTCTTTCCCCACTGAATTATTACCTTCAGAAAACTAGGTGACAATAATCAGAGAATGGCCACAGAAGGGGTGCTTCAGTGATAAACACCACAAGGTTTACAAAGAGAAAGGATTTCATTAACCTAACCAGCATATTGGAAAAACAGATTGAAAAAGCCAAACCCAAAAAACCCCCTGAAGTCATCAACAAGCTCTCAGGCTCTTACATGTTAGAAACCTGAGACAGTTTCCGGACCTGAAAGAAAGTTTCTCTTCCCTGTGCCACCCACCCAAACCCACATTGCTTTGCTGTGGTAACATCATGGATTTAGTTACGTCATGTGCTCTGAGCCTCCTGCTGTCACCTTGACTCAACAGCTTGACGGAAGTTCATCCAAGTAGAGAGATTTTAATCTGGTTTTGCATTTGGATTTTCAGTATTGTCTAGAAGCTGCATTTCTACAGTTAGCAATGCAAGCTATGGGGCTTGCCCCCCTGAAACATATTTTGCAAATATTGTTTAAAACCGAAGTATTTGGGGATCACCTTGATGAACCTTCAGTAACCCAGCAGAACTGGTCCTCCCAGTCCCACCTTGCCTATTCCTGGATCTGTAGATCTCAGCTGCTGCCCAGCCATGGCACTTGGGTGAGAAGGATAGAGGGAGGTTTTTCCAAGATCCAGACCATATCTGGACTCTCACCCCTCTACTCACCTACATCCTGTTCTTGCTTCAGTGAGTGGAAAACCCTTCAAAACAATGTTTTGTTTTGTTTTTTTAATAACAACAAAACCCCATTTCCTTTCCAAAGGAAATTCTGAGTATTTTGAGTTCCAGCTCAGAAGGAAGTTTATTGAGTATTTTCCAGTAAATGGAAATACCCAACCTGTGACTAGTACTATCCTACTTTCAGTAGTAAGCACTGAAACACTATGGCTTGCACTTCAGTGTGTTCCTCTAAAACTTCTTTCAACTGTGTCATGTCATTCCTTAACTGAAAAGAAATGAAAAAAAAAAGAAAAATAGAAATTAATTGTTCAATTTCTCAATGATGCCAAATAGAGAAATCTTAGATTGTTTAACAGAATGTATTAAAATAAGAAAAGGTCACTTATGGTAATAATGGTAACTAATTGTTAGTCATTATTACCACCAAAACTGTAGAATTGTGAAAGAGAAATACGTAAGTCTTGTTTTTTGATGTCATGGATCATATCTTACTTTTGAATGATCTGCTCACTGAACTGAAGAGAACTAAGAATTCTCTTTCAGAATCTTTCCAAGGAGCCATTACTAATGTGTTTATTTGGCACTTGAATGTATTTGGGTCTAAGTGACAAGTTGATGGTTTTCATCAGTTCTGCAAGCCAGCATTTTCAATAACTTCAGCAGCTAACAAAGATGTGAAATATTGAAGATACATTGGAGAAGTCTGCAGCAATTTCAGTCACATTCCAGTTTGATGGTTTATTAAGTCTCCATAGCGTTAAAATAACATGCCAATGTCAGAAAGCAGAATGGCCTTGAGTGGCCATCATAGAGAGGGTGAGAGCCCAAAATCTGTGCTCAGCTCCATCTCTGTTCCACTACCCCAGCCGAGAAGCATGGCTACTGCAGTCCATGCACAATGAGGGTGTGGGCTGAGTTCACTCTTAAAAGAGATGAGGGCAAAGCAACTCAGCTTTTCTTCTCATTAAAAACCCATTTCTTTGGCCTCAGTTTAATCTCCTCAACCCAAGAACAAAATGCCATGCCATTACACTGAAAAGCATTCAATCATATTTATTCACCCTTTGAACAAATTTACAGATCAAGTAACTGCAATGAAAAAAAGAAAAGCAAAATTTAGATAATTTCAAGCTAAAAAACCTCTTACCTTTAAAAAGCATGTTAAAGGTGAAAGTATATTCAGACATTTGCTTTACATGCTGAAACACAGGCTCAAGAAATGAATCTGTGAGGAAGTGTCAACTAGTGTTATTCAAAACCTTTCTATATAGTGACCTAAACCATCCTTTGCATTTAAATCTTCCTTTTGGCCTAACACCTTCCATCTTTTTTTCCCACTCCTATGGTTTAACAAATTTGTTTGGGGTTTTTTGTTGGTTTCTTTTTTTAAAAAGCAAATAAATTTTGGTTTTGTCATAGACACCAGCATAAAAGTCAAAAGAATTTAGGGGTAAGAACTGATTTTCCTGAATTGCTACACTGAAAGCCACAAAACTTTATATTACACTGTTATGCTTACTTATCTTGAAATGATACACTTCTGTTTGTCTAGTGGTCTGTGTTGAGAACATTCCAGAGGAGGTAGATTGAAGGAATATTCATTATAATGATATAAGTGTTGCAGAGGGAATTAATTTGGCAAGGAATGTAATTACTCTTTCCCTCATGCTATTCCTTAATCTCTGGAATTTCAGAAAGTGCTACTAGCTGATTTTGTATAACCTGAGTTTTATCTCACTGAAATCCCTGAGGCTTTATTTTTATTGTGTCTCATTTATTAATTTTTATATTTTTATATGTTGGGGGTTTTTTAGCCTGATTGGAGGTAAAAGGCTAATAGGGAGTCTGCTAGTTCTGCTACATTTCTACTCCCCTTTCTACCACTAACAAAAGGAAGACAAGCCATGGAAAAAAATGTATTTGAAAGGCTCAGTGGACAATGGGGAAAGAATTTTGATTTATTGATAAGGAGGGAATAACTGCATAAAAGATGCACATTTGTAGCTAAAAAGCATGTGGCACTTGCTCTACTTCTTGCAGAACAAAATATTCTAAAAATATAGCATTTAGCTTCACTTTTTTGACTGAATGGAGCTTGAAGACAGGGATGAACTTTAAAAGGTTAGTAGCTGTAAAGTTTGCTCCTATAAAGCTTATCAGGAGATCTCTTCCCAGTCTGCTAAGACTGCCTTTGTCCATGACTCACATGTCTACAATTATCTGGAAGGAGCAAGAAATCCCTGAGCACTGACCATAAACGGCTTCCACGGATCCTTTTGTCTCCATTCCATTATCTTCTTCCTCCAGCACAATCAAGGTACCACTGTAACCACCCTTGCAGCACAGGGCAGAAACTAATGCTGAGAATGTAGAGCAGAAAAATGTCACATTTGTGCCAGAGAACACCTGCTGAGCTTTGCTGGGTAAAGAACCCTCAAAACAAAACCATCAAAGAATGAACAAAACAACAAAAAAAAACACCTGTCAAACTGTTGCAGTAAAATATAGGAGAAAGCTTTTTTAAAAAGTTAAATCAGCACCTTGTTTTATACTGCTAAGTCCTAGACGGGAAGTTCAAATCAGAGTCTCATCACTATAGAAAGAATAAAACTTATTCCTTAGAAAAGAGGCCAAGATTGTTCTCCCCTCTTCCCCAAATCCATCAGTTTAGCAGTAAGGATGGGTCTTGACGCCTTTGAATTAGTAGGGGTTCAGTGGTTTAATATTTGCTAATCAGTTTGACCACGGCTTCTTAGACTCATGCATCCATCGTGGTATTTTTGCTGGACAGACTCAGGACGACTTAGCTACTAAAAATTAGGTGCCTTTAGGCCAATATGGCCGAAGTAGAATCACAGTCTGGTGAGACTCAATACAGTTATCTGCTACTGCACAGAACAAATAAAAAAATATTCTATTTCTCATTTTAAACGAAGTATAATTAACCCAAGAAGTCCATGAAGGCGAGGCATCTGAGGACAGGCAATTGACAGGGTAACAAAACTAAGCCTTTTCTATGAATATTCTGAACACCAGCTGGAGAGCAGAGAGGCTTTTCATACACATTTTCAAATTAAAAAATACTCTCTTTGGTGAGATTTGACCAGGCTCTAGCTGATGGGCAGAAGTACAAGAAATCCAGTCCATAAGTGCCCTCCATAGAGTACCCAGCCCAGGCATACACACAAAGGGTTATCCACAAACAGTCCATGCTCTGCCATCCCACCTGGCAGCAGGTGGTAGCACTAATGATCCACCTACTGCAAACCAGACTCATCCCACCTACTGCAAATAGAGCCAAATACTTCAGAAAAGTCACAGTGCTAGCTCAAAAAAAAAAACAAACCAAAACAAAAAAAACCAACAGTCTGGTGTGAGGCACAAACACAAGTGAAGTGATGAGTAACTGGGCAGAGCTGGCTGAAGCCAGGACAGGGAATCCACAGTGCAGTGGCATGGAATATACATGCTCATCTTGACTGAACTCTGATGAGTATTTCTGGCAGAGATGGAAGAACAGCCACTGTTAGGGATGTGTCTTCTGTGCACCAGAGAAAGCCAGTGGGGTCAGAGCTGGCCAATGCTTCACAGGCCTCTTCGTATCTACAGTCACCTGAGGTAGGGGAGCAGGAATCAGCTTCTTCCTCTTTCATTGATAAAGTAGAGTCTACCTGTTTTCTTTTTCAGACTTAGTGCTCTCTGAAGTTTCTGTTAAAATTAAAGAATGAATTTCTTCTTCCATAATTAACCTGTCAAAAGCATTCAAGGGATCGTCCTTTGCAGAGCTCTGAAAGAGAGGAACAACATTTTTAACAATAATTCCTCCTGGTGAGTGTTGCTTTTTCAACCCAGTAAGACATACCCCCGTTCCACAACATATACCCCATATTATGGTGAAAATCCAAGGCAGCTGGGCAACAAATTATGTCTTTCAGAGCCATGGCTTAGGCCTGGCTGACAGAAGAGATGTCCTCTGGAGATGAAGAACTGAAGGTTGGTCCCCACCTTAAGGGTGCTTCCAACTATAGCCAACAGGTAAAGCTCAGGCAGGAGGATGGAGAACTGAGCATGTACACACTTTGTAGAGTTTTCACTGAGCACACAGAGAAAATTACATACACAAAACACTTGTGAAAGCACAAAGTGTAACAGCTACCACAGTTACAGCCCTCGTGGCCAAGAATCCCATCTGGGAGAACATTCACTGCCTCATGTCAAAGTTTGAATTAGGGCTTGTCAGTGTGCTTCTCTTAGGATTTTTATAAAGGGCTACTGAGAAAGATTTATTTAGAAATAAGTTTCCTTAATGGGTATTATGTTTATTTTCTGTGAAATAAGGCACCACTCCAAGCCTTTCATCAACCAACTCCTGAAACAACTATAGCTGGTTTTGTTCTTTTGCCAACAAGAAGCTATACGTCTGATTTACTTTCTAGCTAACAGACTATGATAAATGTGAGAGTGTTAAAAATGTTAGTTTCTGGAAGTCAAACACAAATAGCTTCATTCAGCATCATAAATATGATTAACTAGCATAAAAAGACATGAATATTAATGGAGTTGTGAAAACAAACAAAAACCCTCAAACGAAAACCCACACAGCAAAAGAAGCCTGACAATCAGAAAACTGTCTCCCAAAAAACCCCAGTCTGATACTAATTTAAGGGACTAGCAGTCTGGAGTAATAGAATAATGCAATTCTACTATTGGAACTGGAAAAGTACATACGGGTTGGGGTGGGGGGAGAGGAGGGAGGAAAATCAAAGTTTTGTGTCACGGTTTCTGAACGATTCCTAATACTGTAAATACTTAACCTTCATACAATACACACAGTTAGTGATAAGACAGACATAGGGGGAAAAAAAACCTGCAAGCCTAGAGATCCCAGTTCAGTAGATTTGCTGGCCCAACAGCTTCTTACTAACCTGGGAATCCTCGTTCTGCTCTCCAAACATGCGCTTCAGAATTTCTCTAGGGTCCGGAATTGGTGGAAGAATTAATATCTTCAGCCTTAATGAAGTTAAAAAGAAAATATTGAGATGAAAAATATATTAATTTAAAAATCACAAAATAATTTTAAAATGTCAAAATCATATTTGGGTACAGTCAAGAAAATTTGTGGAGTCAGCTTTGTCATCACTGACCAGCCTTCCATTCTCTGTGCAACTGCACCCATTTCTTATTTTTAGTCCCCAAAACAAAAGGAAAGGAGAACATTGACACAGACAGATTCTAAATAATTTTTACTCTTGACAAAAACAGCAGCAAATGTAAGGAGATCATTATTTACCTTTTTAGATAAACTAGTAGGATTACTGTAGATACTGCTACGATTAATGGAATGGTAATTATTAGAACAAAGTAGGTTGTAGAGTCCCTCTTCTCACCTGGAAAACAGAAATTGTAGAAACTTAGAGATGCTTTGAGAGGCTTTTTAGGGACAATGACAACAAAATAGTTAATTCTCCAATTTGTTCATAGAAGCAGTTCTTTTGCAAGTACACTAGCACTTTTGTAGGCAAGGACAGGCTCATTTTCTAAAATGGGATTATAATGTAGATATGGTTAGCAAGGAAATGCAAATGAGCAAGACTCAGGGCTGAAAAGTTAGCTACAGTGGACATTGCACAGCTGTACAGATGGCATCATTATCAACATATACAGCAGCATAGGCTGAGACTGGTGGTGCTGCTGAAGGACTAGAGCTCTTCTGCCCTCTTTTCACTCCAAATTAAATAGGTACATAGGAAGATGACCTTTGACTCCCATTTATTTAGCAGACAGATGAAGAGTAAAGTGCAACACAATGCAGGGACAAGTGCTCTCACCAATGCTCTTTTCTTCACTCCAGTCACTATGGAGATCACTGTTGTAACACACACGCTTTAGTTTTGCTCTCACTTTGAAGGTGTATTTGTTATTAGGATCAACTCCAGGAATTGACACAGAATTCGTTTCAGACTAAGGCAGAAAAGAAAAGGTAGTTTGCTTTGTTCAACTATCAACATATTCTCAGTCACTTCCAAGCCTATTTACATTGTGCAGCTAATGTATTCTGAATGTTTTGATGGAAGACCTTTCTATGACTATGAAACTTCATTAAAAATAGGACATAGTGGCATTTAACAAGCACAGAGTGCCTAAATGCACATTCCAAAGCTAAGATTTAATCTCATTCACTGCTACATCTATCATGCAGCATTTGGCATCAATGATTAAGCTAAGACTTAGAATTTGGAACAGTGCCTTTTAAATTTTTTTTTCCCTTCTGAGAAACATCTGCGATTTACCCTGCATTCCCTTCTTGTCAGGGCAGCATAACTGTGACCATACCAAAGTGTTTTGGGACACCTCTACAGAAAAAGCACACACTAGATAGGATCTAGCTGCACTTATTTTATATCCAGAATGCCAGTTTCCTGGGGAATGTTGCTAGCATTCGAGTTTGGGGTAGCATAAACAACTAAACATGCTCCACAGGAGAAGAGAGCCACTCCATTTGAAATTTATCATACTGTTTTTACCATTCTGATCAAACAGGACATTCAGTTTGGCTCTGGACATACAGCCTGAGTCCATCCAGACAATGAACTCAATGCTCTTTATATGTACACAAAAATCAGTGTATTTGAGAGTGCACACCTCTTTCTTCCCCTCCACGCTCAGTCTTTATCCCCTTGCTTTTCTGTATGAAATTCTCTGTTCCCGTGTGCACCAGCAGTTCATTTTTCTTTAGGGCAATCGGGTCACAGCACTCAAGACCAACAGCAGGAAAACCTAACAGCAAGACACCCAAGCCCATGTGCCTGAGAAGCTTACAGCCACGATTTCCTGATAGTAAATCCTTCTGTTCTCACACACTAACAAATTGCCCTAACAAATTATGGGAAGGATTCATAAGACTTGCATGAATTTTGATGTACAGCTTCTACTAACACAAACCTGCAGTATGAGAGAAAAATCCTACATTCACACAGCACTTCCAGCACTGGCACCCAACCCATTCTCATGCAACTGTTCATTTTCAACCACAAATATTTCAAAATATTCACAGAAAAAGAAATTAGTAAGGAAAACTTACTTCAATTATTAGATCAATGCCCAAATCACCTTTGTAACATTTAACTTCATAGTGTAAACAGCCTTTTGGAAAAGTTTCTGATTCACTCCATTTTACATCAATTACATCATTAGTCTTTGACACTGTTAATAGTCTTGGTGTGGCAGGTTTTACTGAAATGCAAAATGGAATAATTAGTGCAAAAGTTTATTTTGCTGCTTACAAAAATTATTCAGTCCTGTATTGCAGAATATTATTTACACCAGATTAAGAAGAGAAAGAGGGAAAAGTTAGCACCAGCAAGTAAAAAAAAAAAGAGTGAATCCAACTAAAGAATAAGAGTAGAAGTTAATAGAAAATTACCCCCCTCCCCTCCCCTGCAGATACCCACCCCACAGAAAACAAACTCTTGCCTATATAATTTCAAATCAAAAGTCAGTAGAAGAAGGGAGCATCTAATCTCATTGTCCCATTCATACTTTTTAAGTGAAAGTTTCTCAAACACAACAATATACTACCAAACTACTTATTTTAGTTATATTTTTATGATGTGGTATTAAGCTTACCAAGGGTGGTAGGATTTTTACTTGCACACACAGGCCTAATTTCTTCAGAATCATCGCTGATCAAAATACTTATAGCAGGGTAATTACTGGTGACTTTTGAGAAGGTAAAATTGAAAATGCATTCAAAGATTCCTTGGTCTACAGAGGAGTTGCTACACTTCTTAGGGTTTTCCAAACCATCATACCTAGAAAATAAAATTATTTTTGTAAACTTCAGAAGAAAAGGACAGCATGGGGAAGGCTTGTTTATAAATGTGTGTTACAAATTCTAAAGACTGATATTGCATTAAAGCTATGCTATAGCACATTACAAAGTAAGGCTAAGCAAAGAAAGCAGCCTGTAGTTTATCTCAAGCTTTAGAAAGAGTATTGTTTTTGTGAAGAGTGCCAAGGAGCAGAAAGAGAGGTAGGCTTGCTTTATATCAAAGAGAACAACTGCTGTCAGCTTTGGTTCACATTTTCCACATGGGAGAACAATTCCAAGGAGTAAAAAATATTTAGAAAAAAACCTAATTTGTGCCACTTCTGGTCAACAGAATTTCACCTCTGTGATAAAATGAGCTGATCAACTTCCTTTAACTCTGCTCAAGTATTGCAGCTCATGAGATAGCTGAGTTTCACCTATTTACCTGATTTGCTTTTCAAAATGTCAGTATCCCCTTCCAATAATAGAGAAGCTAGGAAGACAAACTTCTTCCTTGCTTCTTTGTTGCCCAAGCCTCAATGAAAATACACCAGTAACACTTCCTCCCAAGAAAAACAAACCCAAAAATCCCCACCTCATTGGCATTGTGGAAAATGTATCTTTCAGACTAAAACTGAAGTGTTTCCTTAGTTTTTGGCTTTAAAATCTAAAAATCATTATCCTTTCAAAGCAGCATGAATTAAAACACTTTGAAGTCACTACAACTACATCTCCCATTAAAATTAAGGGCAGGTTGAAAATACGTAGTTCAAATCTAAAGCAGTAAGTATCCCTACACCCAGAAATTCAGTTCAACTCTGCATTGGTCCTGTTCTTATAACAAAGAAAAAATTTGAGTAGCAGTCTAGACAGGGAACAAATAGTCCCCCCATGTTTAATGAAAGCAGCAAGTTTTCTGCTGCTTGCTGCCTAAATGCCCTGAATTGAACAGCTGACCTCTGAGACTGCCACTGGAGAAGTGCAATAAGTTTATGTAGTTAGCTCAAATAAAACAGAAAGCTGATTTAAAACTATGACATGGGGCTTTCAAAAAGGAAACTCCACTATTTCTACAGAAGCTAATGCAATCTGGAATTTCACAAGCCCCATCAAGGTACAGAAGTATGCATAGATTACTATGTACAGCTATCAATGCCAAGAGCTGGCTCACACAAGTCTGTTCCTTTGGAACAAAGCACCATTTATGGCTGTCCACTGGCCAGCAGGGATGATGATGATAAAAAGATGTTCTTCATAGCTTTAAAGGTGAATCAGTTATTTACAACATTGAAGATGCAAATAGAAGTACTACTGAGAGTTATTAATGCTTTTGTACCATTTCCCAATGGTTTATGAACTGACACATATATTGTGAGTGATCCTAACTTAAACAGCCCATTTTGTTGGACTGCAAAGAAAGCAATACATTGGTCCAGTTTAGTTCTTAATTATTCCCTCTTTGAATCAAGTGCCCAATTAGAAAAAACATAGAAAGCAATAGCAGCTATGTTACTATGGTCTACTGAAGCAGACACAAAATAGTTGCATCAGCTCCCCAAAAAGTCTTGGCCATAGCAGCCTCTGGCCCCATCATTGGTGAAGTTTTCGGTTGAATGGGACTGAGCAGTAACTTGGACACAAAGCCCTGGGAACTTTCAAAGCAGGAGGAAGCAGACAAATGGAATGAGTCATGTAAAACTGAAGGTTAGTCCTGGAGCACTTTAGAGCTTTGAATACAAATCTCCTACGAACCAGTAGGACAAAGTGTAGTTGGTGTCACTGCTTGTGTTCTCCCCAGGACGCCAGGTACAAGCCATGTACTCCAAATTGTGCCAAACACAGCTCAAGTCAACAGCAGCAGTACCCGGAATACCTGCAAGGCAAGTTGGAGATGTTCTCTAAGATTTATTTTGTCCAAGTTCTCTCTGCTTTTTCCAGAAGTAAAACATTTCATTTTACATAACTGAAACTGGAAAGCAGAAATGGGTTGGTTACCTCTCAAGACGACACTGCCTGTTCAGCACAATAAATTACGAATTCCAGCTGTTTAGAGCTTGCAATGGCTGAAATCTCAGCAGAGTAACTTCTGGAGGCAAGCCAATCACAACAGCAAAACTCAGTGCTCACCATGGCTGAATTGCTACTTAGAGTTACCAGATGCTAGGGACAAGGTATTGAGTCAGGAAAATATTTATTTCTATTAATCTACAGGTACTTTACAAATAAGTAAAAGTAATTACAGGGAAAACTATAACAAAGGTAAATGCTATTACAGTCATCAATATCAACCATAATTAAAGGCTGAGTATTTTTATCTTCTCCAGAAACTGTATTAGTTGCTTGGTATTCTGAAGATGGAAATACCTCTGAGTCTTAAATATTGACAAAAGCAGCACTAGATAAGTTGACTTTTAAACTGAGATCCATATACCTTTAGACATTAAAGTTTAACATTTGGAAATTCAAGTCACATCAATACAAGTGAGTAATTAGCAATTATGAAGAAGTCAGTGGATTGCCTCAGGCAATCTCAGGCAGAGCAATTATGGAATAAAGTCTTTGCTTGAGTTCTTTACACTGTATTATCATACTACATTGGATTGTATTGGATACACTTTCCTTGTAACAAGTAGCAATATCTCCATGAACTAAAAACTAAATTCATGTTAGACGCGGATTTGCTTTGAAAGTCTGAGCTTGCATTCTCCCTGAAGCAGCAACTAAGACACAGGGAAATGACATAGGTTTTTCTATTCAAGAAGTATATAAAAATATTTCATCTGCAAACTGAATTTTAAAAGCCCCAGCCTGTTTAGTACATGCTGTCCTAACAATGTGCTTCCCTGATTTTCGAGAACTCTTCTGGCAGACACACACACAGGCTTGATATAAGGTCTCTGATTCTCCCAACCACATGTGGTTTTCATCCACATCAGGTCATGCTTCTGGGTTAAGACAAACTTTTAAGCAAGAGACTCATTTTCTTGCCGTACATCCTAACTTCAAGCATTCAGCAAAATACATTACTCCTCAAAGTCTTCTTCCTAACAATTTTGTTGTGGAATCCTTACTTCTGCATGCCAAGAAACAAAAATTACTTTTTCTCTATTCATTTTGCTATGCTTTGTAGACACCACTCATCTCTTTTGAAAAAGACAGAGCCCTATTACAATTATTTGAGTAATTTATTCAACAAGTTGTTAAATTTGCTACATTCCTCCCTCTACATGGACAATTGTAGGGTTATTTTATGGACTTCAGTTTATACAGAAAAATCACACAAAATAAACTGACTTAGATGCTTGTCATTAAGGCAGCAAGCTTAATGGAGTCTAAGCTATCTCTTATGCCACAGCCATCAAAACCAAAGTTGCTCTTACTCCATCATTTAGATGGGGGAAATAAAACCAAGATATTTGTCATACCACCTCAGACACACAGGAATTCCTGCCAGTGTAAGGATATATTACAGCCCCTCAGAAAGACTACAGCTCAAAGCAGGCAGAAGAGAAATAACAGGAACCACACTGCTGCTTTGGGAGAGCACTTCAATTTTACAAGCTTGCCCAGAAGACTTTAAGCATCAGAGGACCCCAGTTGCATTTAAAGGTGGTATAATCATTCTGTTTAAGCTCTATCAATAAAACCAGCCGTTTTGTCTGGTATTTCTCTCTGATATATTTTATTCTTCTTGTTAAAAGAGCAGAGAAAAAGCCATGTCTCCTCAGGCCAAGAGGGGTCTGGCCACTGCTGGCATTACCTTTAGGCAGAAGGGAGGTCTCCACCCAGGGGCTGGGCTCACTGGTGCTGTCATTCGTACATTCACTTCTCACTCTGAGGCGCATTTCCTCATTCAAGTGTGCATCTGTCACACGGAAGTGGCTCTTACTCCATTCCTGGGTTTAGATGGGAAGGAGAAAACCAAAACGTTTGTCATACCATCTCAGACACACGGGAATTCCTGCCAGTGTAGGGATATATTACAGCCCTTCAGAAAGAGTACAGCTCAAAGCCAAATGAAACCAGTGTCTGACTATGTGGGAAGACTCAGCATCACTTGGCTTTGCTTTTTCTTTCTCAGGGGCAGTCAGAACTCACAAAGAAAAACTACTGTTACCCCTGTGACCTACAGTCATTAGCAAAGGCTACACAGAGATTGAGAAGTAAGCATAAGATGGGGGAAAAATTATCCTAGAATAAGTCTTGATGGATAATGCAAAATAAGCATGTTTATCCTACACCTGTATAAACAGACACTTACAGATCTGACCTTCACCTTTCTGTGTGTGTGCACATGAGGGCATGACCAACAGAATGAAAAACATTTGAAGACACAACTAAAAAGCAGTTAGATGAGTTTGGACGATTTAAGGAGCTAAAGAAAAACCTACCAAAACAAACCCATAAATGGCTATTAAAACACCACATCAAACCCAAGTAGCTCATGATCTTCCATTTCAAGTATGTTTTTGTGAGAAAAAGGCTCACCCTTTTATCACACACTTTCTTGAGCATCTTTTGTTGGGCTAGGAGAATGCCTTTTAGTTAACTGGAAACTGGATACAGAACAAGTATCTATGTTATGGCCAAAGAGTACTGTAACCACTCATATACAAAAACAATATATATTGGCACTAATGAGAGGGCAAAGAAATTAAACAAATGTACAGATTAGATTTGTCTGGGTTTGAAAGACAGGTGTCTGCCAAGGAAGGCAGGAACTTCCCCCTCCCCTCCAAATTATTATAACTCCAAAGTAACAGGGCTTTCAGGCAAAGATACAGGAAAGGAGCAACAGTTCTTTGCTAGTATGTGTGTGTAGAACAAGGCAAACAAAGAGCAGCAGCCCCGAGGAACAGAACACAAACCCAGGGACAGCCGCTCTCGGCTGCGGCCCCTTCCCCTGCGCTGCAGTTCCGGGCACAGCCAGCAGGGGCGCTGGTGGCTCCCGGCCGGGCAGGGGCCAGGATTCCCCCGCGCCTGCAGGGGGCGCTGTGGCGCGAGCTCGGCCGCGTCTCCCTCACGCGGTGATGGCGGCCGGGCCGGGCGGTGAAATGGCTGCAGCAGCAACCTGGGAGCGCAGCTGGGATGGCAGGGGCAGGCCCACCCCAGAGTAGCAAATGAAATGTATCAGAACCTCCGCAGCTGTGGCAGGAGCCGCGGGGTGTCCCGGCAGGCAGGGGTGTGGGGTTACAGTGTAGTGACAAACCCGGAGCAGTGGCAGAGGAACGGCGGGGCTGGGCAGTGGCAGCCCGGCTCCCGAACACGGCCCTTGGAGGGGGAAGGGGCTCGGGGTCCTGGGTTTTCCCCGAGACACCCAAATAGTTGGTGAGGGTCCTTTCTAGTGAGGTCGGGTGTTAATAACGCCCCAGCACAATGGCCATTCTTGCAAGCAGAGCCTTACTCACAGGAGGAGAAAAGAGTGGGAGACAGGACTCCTCAGTGGTGACAAATTCTTCCCGACCGCAACCTGCGATCCCAAGAGCGAGAGAGAGCTCAGAGCCGAGCCCAGCCCCTCATCCCCCAGCCAAAACCTCAAAGTATCTCTGCCCTTCCCAAGAGAAAAGCCCCAGCTAAAGGGCTGCAGCCACTGAACCCCTTCACCCCACCTTGGCCACTTCTTTTGGGTCTCTTAAGTACCAGTCATTATCATCTCTTAGCAACAAAGGGGAGAAAATTTCCTTAAAAAAAGAAAAGAAAAAGAAAGAATCCTAACCTCCAACAGGTTCTCTGAGCAAAAAGATGCAGCAAGACGTACAGTCTGTTTCATCCTGTCCTGTGAAACTGCTAACCCTCCATTCTTTCATTGCTGATGACATTAATACCTATTAGACCCTTCCACAAACTCATTTAGCTCTTTAACCAAGGAGACTTTCTACTTGTTGATTTGTTAGTGAATTAATCAAAATAGGTCAATAGATTTCTGTTGTGTTGGCAGGTTAAACTAGCTCATCTAAAGGTCCAATGAAGATTATTAGAGATCATTAGTGTCAAAATGAAATGTCACCCTTTTAGTAGTGACATTAAATCAGCTCAGCTGTTTGCAAAACCACAGTCACAGAATCATAAAAAAGATTTGGGCTGGAAGGGAGCTAAAAGATCATCTGGTTCCAACTCCCCCACCGCAGCTTCCTGCCTTCCACTAGAGTAGGTTGCTCAATGCTCCATCCAAACTGGCCAAACCACATCCCTACTCATGTCCAGGATATCCCGGAGCTGTGAGAAAAAATACAGTGGTTAGCATGAAGAGGCCAACATAACCATCAGGCTGTAAGACTAACAGGGCTCAACAACAAAGGACTGCCTCAAGAGGCGTCATATCAATTGTAACCATATCTAAAACAGCAGGACTGCCTCCCTGACAGCTGGCATCTACCAAAAGGCTTCAAATTCCTGGGGTTTGGAATTACGGACTTAATTTCTTACTGGCAATAAATAGTAAAAATACCTGTCCTACAGCACATAGCAATGGGCACCATGGCAATGCCCTGACCAAACTGAGGCTAATCCACAGCAAGGAGCACATCTGGGCTGCAAACCATCTAACACAGAAAACAAAAGCCCAAAACAAATGTGTTGTATGACTTCTATTCCAGGCAACAAACATGCTCCATATGGTCATCAAAACACAACCCCCCATAAATAACTGTAATTGCAGGGAGAGGGTAAATGGGGGAATGTTAATTCTTGGCATCACCACCAAAAGATGCAATGCTGTCAAACCACAGCTAAATCTGCATGTCGCTTTAAAACGAGTTCAAAGTAAAGGAGAAAATCCTTTGCAAATTCCCATTTAACTCTTAAGGATGCATACTGCCCTTCTATCTATGTTTTCTAGAAAGTTGCATAAGCAAAGACTGATATGCGACTTTTCCCATTATTATTACAGTACTTCTGTGTTACCATCAGCACTCAGTTATCAGAGAGCAACAGACAGATTTTTCTGATTTGAAGATCCCATATGCTGGTATGATTCATTTTTGAGGTTTTGATCCCATGATAAGAGTGAAATGATATAGTAAAATTGTCTTTACACACGTGTGTATGCTCTCCCACACGGAGTTTTATAATACTAAGACATTTACTGTAATACAGAGTTTAAAGAGGTGATATACTTACTTTTTTGTCCTTAGGAACCCCATTAACGACAATGTCACTGGAATACTTCAGGTTGCAGCTACTGCTGACGTTCTCTGGTGGGTTCCATGTCCAGTTCACAGTACAGATATGGATAAATGAATAGGTCAAGTTGGATGGAGATGGAAGAATTTTTGCTCCTGGAAGAAAGGAGTTACCAGTTTAACAATCCTGTTGGCCCACACTTTACCATTAGTAATACTGGCAGATTTTAAACTCTGACAGAAAAGAACAAATAACTTCTCAGCTTTGTCAGCTCATAATTGCTATCAGATAAGGTGCCCACTAAAGTATTTCTATTATTCCTGTTACCTCAACTCATAAGTAAAATTTAAATATGCACAAATTAACTGAAAAGTAATTTTTAAGAAATTGTAGCCTGCAACAAGGTAGTGGTTGTGGTACTCGAGCTTTTGTGTGTTGCGGGAAGATGAATCATGTGCTGAAACTTTAGTAAAAACAGTATACACATTTTGTGGAGAAATTAATACTTTGTTCGCCCCAAAAGTTATCCATCAGCACAGTTTTAAAGAGCTATTTTTAAAAAGTCAAGTGACTACATCTTGCAAGCAACAGCTGTACGTTAGAAACACAATGCAAGCAAAGATTGCAAATGCAAGAATGTTAAAAAGACAACTAGGAAACCACATCACTTTCTCAATTACCTATTAAAAATATAATGCTATATTCCAGTGCAGTGAGCAAAACCAGTGTGGGACAAGTAGTAATTTATTGCTGACACTTCAGTGATACATTTTTGCATCTCCCCAAAAGCCAGTGAGAAGCAGAGCAGGGCCACGTCTCAGAGATGGCCACAGCAATAAATCCATTTGTGCACTGACCCTTCCTTATCTTGTGTATTAAGTCAATGCCTACTCAAGACCCATCACACAGCCTGAAGGTCATATTAGAAAACAAAGAGGGAAAATACGAGAAAATGGCAAACTTCCAGTAAAAATTAAAGTATGTGTCAGACATCGATTCTAGAAAACATCACCAACTGGGAATTCCCAAAGAAAGTGAAAGTGGATTTTGGTTTTTTTTAAAGGGCTACTCTAATATGTACTATGAGAAGATATTGAACCGAAGCCCAGTGAGACTGTTTCTCAGGGTATCTCCAGGAATCATCACTGAGCCACCACCACTTGTTTGACTGTGGACAGTGCATCAGTGTCACAAACACTTCACATATCAGCTAGTGCTGCAGGTCTTGCTGTCCCAGGGAACCAAGCTCAACCCACCCTAATATTCAAGAGACCTCATAGGAAAAGGGCAGAATAATTCCATCAAGATCAGTTTTCCCATCCAGGTCACAGTACAGCCTCGCTTCCTTCTGCTAGCACAAAGGAAGAGGGAAGATAGAGAAGCAAAACAGCTTCATTGAGCAAGAATTCTGATCAAAACATCCATGACAACATTATCTTACATTTCCCAAAAGCCAGAGCAGCCAAATCTTGAAGGGAATTCATCAGACTTCTGGAGGTCTCGGACCTTTGCACAGTTCAAGGACAGGCAATGGTAGAGATCAGGCACCATTATCATCCATGTGTATGCACAAATAATGAGAATAATTACAAGGATTCACTGATTTGGTTCTGAATATGCTTAGTTTGTTGGAATACTTTAAATTATTGGGATTCTTATTTGAGTGGAAAAGAAATTTTTGTTCTTGCAAAAATACAGTCTCCAGTGAGAAAACTGAATGTAGCAAGAATATCTTTGCCTATTACCTCTTCCACTAACAAAAACTTAGGACAGGCTTTAGGAACCAGCCTTGGGGCATTAAGTTAGTAAATACCGAGTCCTTTTATTCATGTAAAAGAGAAACGTTTCTCAACAAGACTACAGAGCTCCAAGGATTCCATCTTGCTGTGATCGAACTTTTACCTACAATAGCCACAAACCGTTAAAAAAATGTTATCCCTGATTGCTATTTTGAAGTTCTAAATATTATCTTCTAATAGGTTTGATTAGAAGCCACTGTGCTTAAGTCTGCAGATTTCTAGCCACACGAAGAAGTGCTAATATTCAAAGTTTATAAATTAATCAGTAAATTGTATTAGCATAAAAAGTTTAAATCTAGTACGCTTTCGATTAATCTACAGAATTCTGAAGCTTGTGTTTTAATGTTTTTAATTCAGCTTTTATTCATAGGTTAGGGCAATCTCATACTTTTGTCTGTGTAAAATATGGAGTCTCATGCTCTCGTTATTAAAATTTCTGTAGCAATTTTGCAGAACAACTCAATGACCAGCTACAAAATGTAGGCAAGCCGTTATTTCACTCTTAAAATGCAAAAACCACGGTGGTGCTTCTAAGAAGCACAGCAATAGCCTTCAGAGATTAGGTGAGGCTCAGAAAACGTATTATTTCTAAAAGCCCTAAGGCGGAAACATCAGCAAATCCTTTGCATCAAGTACCATGTTAGTGTTGTAAAGAAATAAAAAATTAATCGTATTTTTATTCTGTCGTCCTGCATTTTCTGAAAGTTGATTTCATAGTGATAAACCGAATTGCAGACAGTTGAAAAATAAGAATTCTTTAATGTCTTCATCTGCGTTATTGGATAACATAAGCAGAGAATAAAGCTTCAAGTCCGGATCCTTATGAAGTCCTCAAAGACACGCACACATCTTTCCTAAAACTAAACATTCAGGCTTCCAAAATCGGGAATAGTAAAGGAAGAGCGGAGCCATAAAGCGAGGAAGGCTCTGCGCTCCCGCACCGCCGCCAGACGGGGCACCGGGAGGAGAGCGGGGGCTTCTGCTTGGGGTTTTAAGGCACAGACTGTCCCGGGAATCGAAGATGGAGCTTAAAACATTTCTGCCAACCCTGCCAAGAGCTGCCTTACTGATAGAGGAGAGCAGATTTTCACCACCCCCGCTCCCAGTAAGCGGCAGGGCAGGGCGCGCAGCCGGCGCTGCCTCGCACACGGCTGACGAACTTCGGGCGATTTCTACTACAAAATGAAAGCGTTTCCCTTACATCCATGCCCGCATGGATGGTCGCGGAGCCACGGCCGAGCCGCCGGACCCGCGCACGGGGAGAGCCCGGAGTGGCCGCTCCAGCCCCGGCACCGCGCCTGCGGACACGGAGCGCAGCCGGCACCGCAGCCGGCCCCGCGTCCCCTCCCCACCGCCTCTTCCCCACCGCCCCCTCCCGCTCCTACCTGCCGCCGTCCCCGCGGCCACCGCCCAGCACATGGCGAGGAGGATCGGGCTAGGCAGCGGAGCTGCTGCGGGTACAGCCATGGCTCGGGCGTCCCAGCGCGGCCACTCGCTCCCACTTCCCGTCGAGGGGCCGGACCAGCCGGGAAAGGCGGTGTGACGGGACGGGCCGGGCCGGCCCGCCCAGGTAACCCGAGCCGGGAGGGAGGAGCGGCCCGGCCCCGCTACCTGGGCAGCACCGCCCAGGACTGCAGAGCTGGGCAGCGATGGGAACATCCCACGGCCCCGTCCCACAGCCCTACACTTCCCGCACTGCCCTCCCTCTGCTGTCACCCCCCTCTCTCGCTCCATGCGCCGCCTCTGCACTGCCCTCCGCTCCCCACCGCCCGGCGTTGCCTCTCGAGCGTTCAGCACCGAGACACTTCACAGGATCAATTCGATTGGAAAAGACCCTGAGATCACTGAGGTCCCTTTCGCTGGAGCCGCCGGTGGCTCCTCGAGTCCGGGCTCGGCCGTGCCGCAATCGCGGAGCCGCAGCGATGCCGCGGGACGCGGGCGGTGTCCACACAGCCCCTGCGGAACCGCACCCGCTCCGCGCCGCTGCCCCGCCGTGCCCTCCGTGCCTCCCCACATGGCGCTGCAGCGCGGCCACAGACTCACCAAGATCTCATTCTGTGAGTCAAAGTCGTTTTCCTTTTACAACCGGGGTCACACTTGTCTGCTACAGCTATTGAACAGTGCCCCAGACGGGGTATGGTTCATATCCTCTCCCAGGAAAGAAGCTACGTTAGCACATCCTCGAGAAGTTCTCTGGATGTCGAATTCATTCCCTGGCAGAATGTGCTTTTTGAAATCCCTCCTGAAAATTCAGCTAATTTCTACAGTTCTCATCTGTGCTAAAAATGCATATATTCTTTTGTTTTCAGATCTGCCTTCCACAAACTTCCCCAAACTCCCTCTTCTTCAGCCCTTTCCAAATACAATATGGTCACTTGGAATTTTGCTCTCACGTTTACGGGTGTGTTGCAGCAAGATTTCCAAAATTGTCCCAGAATTGGGAATAGGACATAAATACTATTTTGATAAATTTCAGGAGAATAAAATATTTGGGGTAAGCTTTTCCTTCTGAACTAGAATTTTGTGGTAGCTAGCAAGCTTGGTCCTAGTTACCACCTAAATATAGGTATTCTAAATAGTAGAGATCCAGCAGGAAGGAAACTTGGCTGAGTTTCAAGGCAACCCAAAATTTGTTACTAAAACTAACTTATTGCTAACCAAACAATGTTTCAGTATTTACTCAGCTCCTCGAAGAGTTTTGCAAGAGTTCATCTGTGTTTTAGACCTCATTCTAGAAAAAGGGAAGTGGACCTTTTAATGACAGGGTGGGGAATATCCTGTGTTAATGTTGGGCTTTTTTTGCTTTTCTGCCTGTTGATTTCCCTGTGAAATAAGAGGACTTCTAGTTGCTGTTAGAAAGTGCCCAAGGACCTACAATTATAATCAAAGAAAAATGTGGTTTAAAGTTCCAGGATGTGAAACATTTAAGCTGTGTGACGGAGATTGGATTGCGCAACTAATTAGAACAAGCGTGGACTATGCCTGCTAGTGAGGACATTTGTAGAGTCGAGCTGATCCAAGCAACCTCTCTCTTGCTTTCAGTTTCCTTGCTGATGTTTTCTTTGCTTCCTTCTTTGTTTTGTCCACTGCTTCTCCCAGGAGACCCAATGCCAAGCACATATGCAATCATTCACTGCTTTTGGCTCCCTGCCCATCAATGTTGTTGTCGGCAGCTGAAACATTTTCCCCCTTCTCTCTTCCTTCTCCCCGAATGTGCAACTCGTTGTCACATTCCCATCTCGATTCAGGGCAATCACAACTGCTGCCAGAGCCTTTGATCCCTGCCACTTACCAGAGATTTCCTATTTCTCAATCTCGCTGAGTCCTGTCCTACAGCTTACTGTTGCAAACCTCATGCTCGTTCATGTTCTTGTGAGCCAATACACCTGTGCTGTAGTGACTGGAACTCGTATAGACACACCTGAGGTATCTTTCAAATGATCTGCTGAACAAGTACTTGGGGTATGGCTTCATGTTTGGTATAAATTGATTTACAATCATCTTACTGACCTGCCCTTGGCCATGTGCTCCTGCCTTTTCCACCCACACAAACAAAGCCAGTGACTGTGAGGCTATGCAGTTGTATATTCAATAAAACAAAAATTCAACGATTTTTTCCTGTCCATGTTCCCTAAATTACATTATCAAATGGTGCCAATGCCTGCTGTGCCTGCACAATTACTAGGTCCAGCAAGAGGCAACGATTATCAGCAGCACAGGACAATGGAGAATTGTCCCTTTTGGGACCAGCAGTTGTTTTGCACCAATATTGAGATTCCTCCTCTCTGATTTTGCAGCAGCTTCCGTCAATACTTTAGGTCTCAGCTGGCATAATTACAGGCTCTTCATGGTTGGAGTCAGTTCAAAAAATGGCTCAAAAAGAATACAGCTGGATCTGAGGCACAAAAATCCAAAACTGTGTTGAAAAAACCCCAATCTGACTCATGTGGCTTCTCACTTCTTGACCTTTGTCATGTTCTTTGTTCTGTGTTCTTTGGGGACATCTAAAATTTTGTGACATATGTTCACAGCAGACATGAACTCTGCAAAACTGAACTGCTGCCCAAACCCCACCAGAAACGAGAAATTACGTGGAATAAAACCCACCTCCTTTGAAGAGGAATATTGAGTGGACATGGAACCAAGCTTGTTTGTGCAAATGTTGTATCCCCTCCCTCCTCTGATAATTTCTATTACAAGCCCATGCATCAACTTTTCTGCTCACTGTTCCCTAAGTATGAAGATCTATTTAATTTACCTATTTATTTGGCAAGGGAATAACTCCATTACCCACCAAGGGAGGCAGGGCACAAACCTGGTTTTACAGCTGCTTGGCCAAGGCTTGCAAGAGGCCCATTGAGAAGCCTCAGAAGATAGAAGTAGAAAAAGCAGTTTGTCCTTTATCCTCTGTGGAGGTAAATAACAATTACACCCAACTTACATTACATCATGTAAGAGCTGGTACAACTGCCTGGGCATGCATATACCTTAGTCTAACCACCTTGTAAGTTGAGTTAATTGATGAAAAGCAACAATAAATAAATCTCCAAAGAGCAAAAGTCTGGGTTTGAAAATTGTAATTCCAGAACAGAGCAAAAACCCAACCACAAACTTACTGGATATTTTTTGGAAAGTAGGGTGATCTGCTGGGACATTTCCTTACTTGTGATTCACAACTTGTTTCTATTGATAAATTTGTGTGTATGACTGTCTCTGTTTTTCTGACGAATTATGTTTTTGGGATTTCCCTGAGCTGGATTTTGCATCGCTTATGCTCCTTCAGGATTTTTAAGTTAACATATTCTATTTGTTGCTGAGTAATTTAGCGTTCACCATTTCATTTGATGTACTTCCATGTCTGAAGATTTATTTTGGTAATCTTCTAGAGAGGGCACATATGTGATAGCTCAGTGCACAAGGCTTTAGTCCCATGAATCTTACACTGGTATTAACTTTTGATCACTCACCCTGTTCTGTGAAATGAAGAAAAAAATTAAAAAAAAACCCTAGGTAAAACATGTTTATTGAAACACTTATTTTTCCTGTTTGTGTAGTCTTTTATTTTGACCTGGAATAAACTCTGAACTTGACTGCAATGTGATTTTTTCCTTGGCTTCTTGTAAAAATTATTCATTACTCAAGAAAGAGAAAGTAAAAAGAGCAGTTTAGGACGGCTGGTCTCAGGAAGCTCCTGAGCAGCTCTGTTCATCCTCTGTGTCCAGTACAGAACCAAGGCAAATGGGAGGTGCTGTTCTTTCACACACAGGAGGTTAAACAGGGCTCGTACAACACTCACAGCTACAATATTCAGGATAAAAGCACTCCTGCTATGATTATGGAGCAGCAGGTGTTAGATTTACACGAGAAGAGAGTAAATTACATCCAGCTGAAGTATTACTTGTATATCACAATTGGTTCACCACTGCTTGGCACAAGCACATTATTTGAATGACAGTCTGTGGTTGCATAAGAATTAGCTGTACACAGTGCTCCTCAACACAGTAAGAACCCCTTTTTTAGTCAGAGAACTCATCTCAGTGAACGTCAGACCAACACGTGCTACTCTCCTCAAGTGGGTAAATTGGGTAAGATGTAGTTTTATTTCCATTAAATTTTTGAGCCTGTAATGTCCACTTACGTTCTTTTCCAGATCTTTTGGGCCAAGTTACTCAAATCATAAAGTGGAGTCCAGGGGATTTGGTCTCTTTAGAAGGAGAAAAGAAACGTATTTTACCTGCTTTGAGATAAAGGTATTATATTCATGTAAAGTCTTATTCTATATTAAAAAAAAGTGTATATTCAAAAGTCTTCTGGAACAAAACCAAACATTACACACTACAGGTATTCTCTCATCCTTTTTTCATTTTTCATTTGCTGACTTATCTCATGAAAAGTCCTGATATCAGAAGAAGTTTAGAACTCCCAATAATATGTAAAAATACATAGTTCGCTGCAGTAAGTTCTTCATTCCAGATTTTTTTTGGGGAGGAAATGGAGCTCTGAGGCTATTTTTCTAAAAATGATACTTTCTAATCCCTCTGCAGAGAAAAAAACAGTAGGTCCAAGAGAGAAAATGTTTACACTTGCTTATTCTGTAAATCTCTAAAAGCAAGTTCTTGTACATAAAATACTGGCAGACCCTTTGTTGCTTTGTATGTCCTGTTTGCAAACCATCTGGCTTTGACACATCCCATCACCCAAACCAATCCTGATACTGAGGGTAGCCAACTCAATCCTCACAGATGCTTCATCCCATTTCTTTTCCTTTTATGCAAAATTATCAAGGCATCCATTCTGAAGACTTGATGTGTTACACAGCAGTTTTGCAGCAAAAAAATAATTAGAGGCACGCAAATAAAATATGCAATGTAGCCAAACTGAGGTATAGAAAGAGTGTGTGCCAGAATGTGATTTGAAATATGTTCCACTAATTTTTCAAGACTAAAATAAT